GCGGCGGCTGCCGCCATCGGAGCCGACGGGGCCCCGGCGGGCGGCAAAGCAGCGCCTCGGGCTGGGAACGACGGGGCGCCCAGCGGGGATGGAGGAGAAAGAAGGAGCGGCGGCGCCTTGGGCGGAGCGGCGGAGACGGCGGGCGAGTAAGGGGGGGAGGTGGAGGAGGAGGTGGCGGCGGCGGCGGGGGAGGGCTTGAAGAGCTTGGCAAACGCGGTGCCCAAGTCCAGCACCGCCACTTTCATGGTGCCGCCGCCTGGCCCGCGGAGGGTCCTTCTGCGTCTTCTGGGAAAAGAGAGGAAGAGTCCCCGGGAAGGCGCAGGACGACGAGGGGGGACCTTTCCTACGCCCCTTGCCGAGCGTTACCTCGCTCCCAAATCCCCTTCAGGACTCGCTTGAAGAGCTTGGCAAACGCGGTGCCCAAGTCCAGCACCGCCACTTTCATGGTGCCGCCGCCTGGCCCGCGGAGGGTCCTTCTGCGTCTTCTGGGAAAAGAGAGGAAGAGTCCCCGGGAAGGCGCAGGACGACGAGGGGGGACCTTTCCTACGCCCCTTGCCGAGCGTTACCTCGCTCCCAAATCCCCTTCAGGACTCCTGCCGCTGCGCTCCCTCTTCCCTGTCGCGCGTAAGAAAGGTGCAGGATGCGATGCCCCGCCGTCAGAAGGCGAGCCCGCTCACGAGAGATACGGAGCGAGCGCCGAGCTCGACGGTTGCCAGGGCCTGCCTTTTAGCTTCTCCCCACCCCCTCGGGTGCCCGCGCAGGCAGGCAGACAAGGGCCGGCGGGCGCGCGGGAGAGAGGCAGAAGCGGTTGCTAAGCTAAACAAAAAAGCGAGCGCGCCGCTGGCCGTTGGGCACTCCGCAGCCGCGGGAGCCACCCCCAACCCCACCCCTGGCGTCGAGAAGGAGGCGAAAAGGGAAGGCGTCGGCGTAAATGCCGCTTTCGAACGCTGGCGTTGGAAACCGCGTGGCGGGATTTTTTTTACCTCAGGCTTCTTCATATGAACCCCACGACGGACCATTCCTCCTTTGCCACTCTTTAGGTGTATGCATACTTGCTGCAACCCTGCCCTGTGGATGCTTATAACTAGGAAATGAAGCCCTGCCGAGCTTGACAAAGATGAATTTGGCCTAGCTCTCACAAAAAGCAGCAGCGAGAATTCTCGTCCATTTGCTTCTGGGGGGCTCACGTGCCTGCTCCTTCACACAATTACCGTACTTTTAAAAGAAATCTTCACCTGTACAGAAAATTTGGTGTGGGAAGTTTCTAACAAAGCCTTTTCTCAGCTGCAAGAAGTTTGCGTGTACGGACATACGGCCCCTGGCATGTCAGACAAGTGGCACAAGCTGGTTTAGCACCTGGCTTGCGGGGTTTTGCCATTTTAGTGTATACAAGGGAACAGAACTGCAGTCTTTAAAACAATTAAAGGATGGAGCTGACAAACATGGTGGCATAGGTATTACCAGGGTACATCTGCAAGAAGCCTGGGTTACTGGCCTCATGGATGTCCACATAGGAGGCAAGGAGAGCTTCTCCCCGACCAAAAACCAAACATATATTTAACATACACAGATTAATACATTGTGTTATGGGGGAGCATGCTGAGCACATACTAACAAATCATGCATTGTTGCCCTCACCTCCCCAAACCTGGCACACACACACACTCCCAACTCTTCTCTATTTTTTCCCACTGCTATGATGGGAAAAATCCATGAAGCAAAAAAAAAACCCAAAAACACAACAACCCAAAAACCTAAAAATCCACTTTTTAAGTAGTAATTGTTTTTCACCTGATCATGTTATTTCTTACACTAAAGAGAGTGTGTATGTGTATCCTGTATTAATGGAGGAATTGTATAACATTTTTAAAAAGAGCACTTGGGATATTATGGCCACATGGTCTGGATTATAATTATTCTTTTTTTTTTACTGATTGTAGTTCCAAGTACATGCAGTCCTGCTATATTCTGTAGTTCTTTAACCTCAAGAAGTGTAATTCTTAGCATCTTACTCAGTGGAGAATCTCACTGAGATCAGCATATTCATTTGTTAGGAAGTGCATTCTAATCCAGATTTATCAAAAGTTATGACCAGCTGGCTGAAATTCTGTTGGGCTGCTACACAAAAAGTGTAACTTTTTAGGTGAACTTCCTAGGGTTGAAAAATATCTCTGGAGACATTATCTATTATACACTGAGACATATGACTCAGCATGCAACACACATGGTCTACAGAGATTTCTTGTTGTTGTTTAGTCGTTTAGTCATGTCCGACTATTCGTGACCCCATGGACCAGAGCACACCAGGCCCTCCTGGCTTCCACTGCTTCCCAGAGTTGGGTCGAATTCATGTTGGTAGCTTCGATGACACTGTCCAATCATCTCATCCTCTGTCGTCCCCTTCTCCTCCTGCCTTCACCCTTTCCTAACATCAGCATCTTTTCCAGGTAGTCTTCTCATGAGATGGCCAAAGTACTGGAGCCTCCGCTTCAGGATCTGTCCTTCCAGTGAGCACTCAGGCTTCATTTCCTTTAGAATGGAGAGGTTTGTTCTCCTTGCAGTCCAGGGGACTCAAGAGTCTCCTCCAGCACCACAATTCACAAGCATCAGTTCTTCAGTGATCAGCCTTCTTTATGGTCCAGCTCTCACTTCCGTACCAGTGGCTCTCAAATTGGGGTCCCCAGATGTTCTTGGATTACAATTCCCAGAAGCCTTTCGCAACTTGCACTGTTGGCCAGGATTCTGGGAGTTGCAGTCCAAGAACATCTGGGGACCCCTGTTTGAGAATCATTGCTGTAGATTATTCCAGCTGCTGCTGCTTGTATTGTCAACATTCAGCCTTTTGTTTGCTATGTAAACATTTTTCCTGCTGGCAACACGGGCACAATATTGTGTAGCAATATCAGGCCTTTTCCTGTATTTTTGAATTGTGGGTACAGAAGTACAATAGCCACATTCATAAAACAGAAGGGTTTTTAAATAAAATAATTGAGTTTTCAATTTGTATCATATACTGTAGATAAATGTGCAAATTTATGTTCAGTTTAAGACTCTTATGTTGTTCCCTACATTTTGGATTCAAAGGGCAACCTTATCCATCGATAAGGCCTTAAGGATGTGCAGCAGAATTTTCTTGACCTAGACATCCTATTTCATTATATGCAAGCTCTCTAACTTTTTAACTAAAAAAGAAAAAAATACATGGAGTACTGAAGCAACTTTTAATGAAACACATAGCTAAACTTTCCTTGGCTACCTGGACCTAGTCAAATAGCCCCCTGAACACATGTTGCTTGATTTACTTTACTAGAGATACTTACAGAATGATTCATTAGCTTGTTTTTAAATAGGTGAAAGTGTAATTTACCTGGGGAGAAACCTGTCATTACCACCTCGAAGCCTCCTCAGCTTTCATGGCTTAAACTAGGCAGGAGAATTTGTCACTTAGACTGAAAAGAAGATCAGAAAGATGAGATGAAAGCATCACAATGAAGATAATCCAATTACTGTAATTAAGGAACCATCACATACCAGTTCATCTGTAAACAAGATCCTTTATTTTCACTTTGTATCTTTTCAACTCTTCCCTTTATAGCCATTCCTATATTGTAATTTCCCACTAAAAACACATAGTTGGTTCTTTAGATTTTTTTCTCCCTAAATATAGTTTTACAGATTCAATAGCAAAAAAAAATTATTTGAAAAATTAAACTTAGTTTAAATGAACATATTTACAACTTTCTACTATATAGGTACTTTTATATATACATATGGAAGTATTATATTGGCCAAAATCCTGTTGAACAGGGTCCACATGTGCAACAGATGCCATCAGCAGTGGCAGATTGCCAAAGGCTTCCTTCTGTGATTTTGGGGCGCACAGAGTTTCATGATATTATGTGCAAGCTCTATGTACCCCAAATTGCAAAAGGAAGCCTTTAATCATCTGCAATCCACCACTGCCAATGACATCATTCTCCTTGCACATGTGGAGAATGCCATTGTTTGACACCTATACTTTTCTAAATTCGATTGTACACTTTGATAACACGTGTGCATACATATATTTACTCCTGGAAATTAGGATATATTCAGCATTAAGTTTGCACCTGGATCCGCATTGAACAAAAAAAGAAAAAAAAACACAGAGAAGGGCAATATGTTACTGTTTTGGTGAAGGTTCCAGAACCACAACAAGGAAATTGATTTTGCTGTTCTCGAAACTTAAATCAGCTATATGAAAATAATTTTTATTACTACCAGGAAACATGAGGTGAACATTTACATATTCCCATTGACAAAAATAAAAATCCCTGATGTGAAAATGTCCATTTCCCCCAAATCTGTTTACCTGCAGTTAGATCCAGGTTAAGATTTAGCAACATTCTAAGGGTACTAGAGAGTGCAGAGCTGATACAGTCGTGCCCCCCTGGACGATTAGCCCGTATAACGACAGATCCACTCCACGTTTTTGCAATCGCTTTTGCGATCGCAAAAGATGTTTTAAATGGGTTTTTTTCGCTGTGCGATGATCGGTTCCCTGCTTCAGAAACCGAATTTCACTTTACAACAATCAGCAAACAGCTGATCGTCGGGTTTCAAAATGACCGCCGGCTGAAGAAAATGGCCCCCCGCTGTTTTCTAGGATGGATTCCTTGCTTTACAGGCACCAAAAATGGCCGCCATATGGAGGATCTTCGCTGGATGAGCAGGTATTCAGCCCATTGGAACACATCGAACGGTTTTCAATGTGTTTCAGTGGATTTTTTTATTTCATTTGACATTTTCGCTCTACAGCGATTTCGCTGGAACGAATTAACATCGTCAAGCGAGGCACCACTGTATTTGAGATTCTTTTCTCCTGCAGCATCCAACCACACCATGATTATACCAACTGAAAAGCCACTCTGGAGGAACCTTTACATATGTGCAAACTGCGTGGCAGTTGAAATTGATTTAGCAATCTCAGGGCAAGGCTTGATTTTCAGTCCATTCCCAATGATTGCATGTGCTGGGAACCGACTAAACTAGAGCACACCAATTTGCACCAGACATTTAGAAGCCTCTGACAAGGGCTCAAGAAGGTGTGGGATGGGGTGCTCATCCTGTCCTTGCCTGAAAAAAGAGCAAATCAATCCACGGCCGCAGTGCATCAAACAGCAGAACAAATCCTGTCTGAATGAGTCCTGTTTCTGTTTTCTACCAACTATTGCCTGTAATCCACAAACATTTAATTAATCGAGTGCATTAAACTGAAAAAATTTACATTTTAAAAGTATTAAACCTTTTGATCGTAATAAAGAACATAAAACTATTCTTTGTAAATGACGATTATCAAAGAATTATCCACCTTAGGTATCAAGTCATATCCACTGAATCTATGTCCAAGCTCCACCTTCTTCTGCAAGAAACTTCCCCTTCTTATGCATTTACTTTTTCCCCTCTCATGGAAACAACAGAATGAGTTTTCATCCCAGAAGGGACATGATAAATGCATCTTTTCCTCTTCAAATTCCATGTCTTTTCCCACTTGGAGCAGGGGAAGCAGGGAATGGATGTTGATTCAATGTACACTAATTTAACTTTTGACATCCATACGATTCACTATTTTGTGTCTATTATTTCACAATACTTTGCTACTAGACTGAAGTGCTGTTTTTAACTGCTGGTAAAATGCATTCAGACGTTCTTTCTGAACAGGCCACTCCAAGACACAGCATGATTTGAACATTGCTCTGCGTAAACAAAGTGCATTATTTAGTTTGTAATCAGGAATGTCCTGTCGAAAAATTAAAATGATGGAATCTCGACTTTGTTCAATGGCTTGCTGTATAGCATGATATACTTTGAACCTGGACAAAAAGCAAAAGGAATATGAACTGTTTAGGCAAATGCAATATTCACTTAACCACAAACATTTTCACATATATTAAAACCTTTATGTGTCCATTAAATATCATGACCCATTTGCTGAAATCTTCTTGCATAATTACACAAAAGGTGAAACTTTCAGAGATGAACTGCTGTAAATGCAGCAGATAGTACCTATGGTGATTTCTTAACATAGGATTAATGCCTTCTGTGTACAATTATGCAACAGGATTTTGGCCACTGACTCAGTAGCAGGACATTCTTTTTTAAAAAGAACTAGATTCCTCACCAATTGAATAAAGACAACATAGCATTTTTTTTTCAGCCAGGTTCTGGGACAGGGCAATAAGCACCAGAATTCGAAGCAGAAACTTAAAACTGCAGATGCTGCCCTCAATCCAACACAAAATTTATTTATTCATTCATTCATTTATTAGATTTTTATCCCGCCCCTCTAGACAATGTCTACTCAGGGTGGCTTACAATAAAATTATTCATAAAACAGTTAAAACAGCAATTAAATCAACAATAAAATATTAATCAAGATGGGAAAATATAAATAAAAAGCTAAGTAAGAAATAAAAGTCAAATACAGTATTGACAGGAGGGAAGCACCAGTATAGTTGGAATTCCTGTTCTTCCCTTTCCCACTACAACCCTCACAGGTGTCCAGAAACGGGCTTGTGAATACAGTGGTGCCTCGCAAGACGAGCGCCCTGTTTAATGACAAAATCGCATTACGACAAACTTTTTCCTATCGCAAAAGCGATCGCTTTACGATGGTTTCAATAGGGGAATTTCGCTTTGCGATGATCGGTTCCCTGCTTCGGGAACCGATTCTCGCAAAATGACGATTTTCGGCCAGCTGATCGGCAGTTTCAAAATGGCCACCGGGTTAAAAAAATGGCTCCCCGCTCTTTTCTGGGACGGATTCCTCGCTGCGAAAATGGCCGCGCTATGGAGGATCTTCGCTGGATGGTGAGTTTCAAGCCCATAAGAACGCATTAATCGGGTTTTAATGTGTTTCGATGGGCTTTTTTAATTTCGCATTACGATATTTTCGTTGTACAGTGATTTCGCTGGAAAAAATTAACGTCGTAATGCGAGGCACCACTGTAATTTCCCGACCTCCTCATACATTGGAGCTCCCTCGTACAGGGACTCAAGTGGAAAATGGAGAGTCTTCCATTTTGGTTGGCTTCTGCTATTCCTGCCCATTGTTCTCACTGGAGAAAGAGACTCAGAGGGCCTCTTTCACAGTGGAAGTAACATAAGCATAGCTTGTTTCCCATTGAATTTTTGAGGATATATAGTCCAAATCCCTGAGAAAAACTTACACCGGATCAACAAGTAATGCCCCCCTCTGCCTCAAAGGTAAATGTATGGATCTGGCAGCAAGGAAGTCATCTGCCTTTGGCTCAATCCCGCTTGAAAGCATTCAAATTGGTATAATTTATGCCGAAGACCTTGCTCAAATGCTTATGAAAGATACCATTAATATTTTATAACAATCAAGACACTCTGGAATGTATTTAACCGGAATCTTTATATTAGTATGCGAGGGACACTCCAACTCTTCCCAGCAGGACATGTACCTCAGAGGCATACACCCCAGGGGGACGTCTTGGAAACCCTGGGAGCAAGGCACCCTGAGAATGCAGAAGGCAGGAGCAGACACTCAGCTGGGAATTCAGAGAGGGAATGAGCCACATGTAGAAGGTGGGAGCAGATTGGTGGCAGAACAGAGGGCTTAAGGGAAGATGAGAAGGAGAGTGAGGGGACCAGCACATCAACATCATCCAACATGGGTTGGAGGACAGTGGTCAGAAGAGTTCCCTCCTATCTTCTTTGCCCTTGACAAGAACCAGCTCTTAAAGCTCTGAGACCAGTGGGCTGGTGAGGGGGCCAGCTCTGGCCTAGGTGGGATAGCATTACCCCACCTGGGTCCCCACAGCAGTGGCCCAGGTGCCTTGCTGAGCCATCACCCAGAAGACCAACAGCTACGCAAATGAGGCACTGACAGAGGAAGACATACAGTGGTTGTGGCAGTTGATATAGCAGCAAGACAAGCTGCTGAGACATGGGGATCTCCATCAGCCCAGCATTACCAGCCCTCCCTAAAAGACATTGGCCGACTGAGGCCAGTGTCTTAAACTTAACCACAGGTGAACCAGTGCAGGGAACTGGGATCCAGTTAAGGACAGCGGACAAAGGAGGTTAGCGAGGGAAGCTAAGGCCCCCCTGTGGACAGGACAGTTCAGACAGAGTTCAAGTGTGCAACTAGATGGTGTAATCTGCTGAATTCTAAAAAAGGCAATTTTTGCCAACACGAAGGGTCTGTAGTTCACGGGCCCTCTGGTTGAAGAAACACAGCTAGTCACCTCCACCTTGGGTGGTGGTGATAATTGTCACAATGAGTTAAGAGCCTAATCTAAAACCTACAGCTCTCATGCAGAATTTATATTTGCTTAGATCACGGGTGAATAATGTTAGCAGGTTTGGGCCCCCAATTTTCTGCCCCCCCCAGCTTTATATATCATGAAAAACACTAAAAACAAAAAGTGACATCAGACATTTTTCTGTCTCTTTCCAGTTTTCAGAAAATGGCATTTGGGGATATAAAGGGGGGGGGGGGCAGCTGGAACCCTCTGGTGGCTTTATATATCATGAAAAACGCTAAAAACAAAAAGTAACATCAGACATTTTTCTGTCTCTTTCCAGTTTTCAGAAAATGGCATTTGGGGATATAAATGGGGGGGGGGGCAGCTGTGACGTACAGCTATTATGAAAAAAAAGCACCATTCCTAGAGGAGATGAGAAGGAGCTATAGTTTACTTTGTTCACCTGAAAAAGAGGGGGACGGGAGGGCTAGAGAGCTCAAAAACAACCTTGGGTGTCACATATGACTTCACTTCACCCACCTGGACTTAGATACAGCAATTACGAAATAAAGAATTTGTTTCCATCTTTGACTTGCAAGTCCAATAAAAAACATTGTTTACCAGAACATGAAGTACCCAGAACGTTCCAAAGACAAGCCTAATACTTACCTGGTGTACATAACTTGGAACATGAAACATAAATGCACCCCTCTTGCTTGACTGGTAAAGCCTACAGATTCATAATTTACATACTATAACATGCAATGCATGTCTAATTGTCAGGCAGTTTTCATTCTGCTTTGTTCTTTTACACAAAATGCTATGATACCCAGGATTCTTTGGCTGGGAAGCATGTTTTTTTTTTTTACAGATTTTTACCTTTATCTTTCAGGTGGGACATTTTAGTCCCCCAAATCCATGTTTTGTGGCAGGATTTCTGTGGAGCCATATCATAATACTTTAATGATACTGTAGTGGAATGCAAAAAGGTGACGTCATTCCTGCCTGTCCATTAAAACAGCTAAGGGGGAGAAGCCAAGGATAGAGCAGGAGGGGCGGAGCTAGAGTGAGAGTTAAGGGAGATGAAGAGACAGACAGTTGGAGAATTGGGGAGAGTTAGAAACAGCTAAGGGGGAGGAGCCAAGGATAGCGCAGGAGGGGCGGAGCTAGAATGAGAGTTAAGGGAGATGAAGATACAGTTAGACAGTTGGAGAATTGGGGAGAGTTAGAAAGAGTCAGGGACCAGAAGATGTAGAGAGTGTGTTAGGGTTTAGGAACAGAGCTAAGGGGGTTAGGAGAGGAAATTGAAAAGTTTAAAACACATTGAACAAGCAGGAATGAATGTATAAACACTACCTGAGAGATACTGATTCAAAGCATACAAAAGTTCAGAATAAAAGTGATTGAATACATGATCTAATATACTTTAACATCTATTGTGATTTTCCTTTTGATTTGTTCAATAATAAAAGAATACTTAATTAAAGCCCCTGCTTCCTAAGTTATATAACCATTTCGGGAGGCAGCTCCTGGGTGGGACATAAATTGGTATTAGGAGAATACCTGGTGGCAGCGAAAAGGGCATGTGTACGTTTGTGAGGCCCAAGGAAATAGGGGCCACAAAGGGTTGATCGCCACAGACTTTCACAGAAGACTGGCAATTTGGAAGTAATATAAATTTAACCCCTCCTCTAATCCTAAACCCTAATGATAGTCATCTTTTTTATTTATCTGAATGCAGATTAAATGCATCCCAACTTATAGTAAAGACATGGTCTTCATATAAACAGGAACATTTCTTTGAATTCTAACTTACCTCTTGCACCAGGGATCTTTCAGGAGATGTTCAGTGACAACAAATATAATCTTTCTGCTCCTCTTTATGCTGTCGACAACAGCTTCAAATTCAGATATTCCAGCCTCAAAGTCTCGTTCTTCCAAACAAAACCTTATAACTGGATGATTGTTTTCTTCAAGAGGAATAAAGTTCCTGGATACCCAATTTTTGTCCTTTTTCGCATGAATGATGTAAGCGTCATAATTAAAATATTGCTGTGATCTGTCGATTTCCCTTTGGCCAAGGACTCTGTTTACTGTCACGCTCCAGAGAAATCTGATTCTCCACCCTTCAAAGTGGATAAGTAGGACTACAGAGATGAAGATCAATATGGATACAGTGCTCACAATGTGCATCAGTTTAAAAGGAGCACTATCACATGGTGAGGTATCAAACTGGGATACCATATTCCTGTGATATTTAGAGGGAGTGTTGCACAGATAAGTATTGAATTGTGGGATGTATATTTTGCTACTGTTAAGCCAGTTAACAAACCAAGCTATACTTTCACAAGTGCAGTCAAAGGGATTGAATCCCATATTTAACTCTTTTAAATGTGTAAAAACTGTACCAAACACTTTTTCATCCACTGCTGTGATTAGGTTCTTCTCAAGAAGGAGATAGTTCAGTGATGTCAGGTTGTCAAAGACAAACTGTGGGATCAAGTTCAAATTATTGTATCTCAGATTTAGGCTTCTTAACTGAGATAGGTCATGGAAAGCTCTACTTGGAATCTCATCAAACCCATTAGATTCCAAATCAAGGAGACGCAAGTTTTGAAGTCCTTTTAAGAACAGAACAGGCCCCTCTGGGTTGGCATTTTTCCAAAGCCGAGCCAGGTTATTATGCTGCATATCAAGAATTTCAAGCTGGTGGAGTCCGTCAAACACATCGTCTCTCATATTAGCAATGTTGTTGTTGCCTAGATCTAGAATTGTCAAATTGTTTAACTTATGGAATGGTGAGGGTGAGATTTTAAGATTACTGCAATGTACCCGCCTCATCCTCAGTGTTCTCAAGCTTGGGGTATAAATGAAGGATTCACTTGTCAAATTCACCTGATAGTTGTAGGACAGATAAAGAGTCTCAATATTACTAAGACCTTGAAATTCCTGCCCTGTGAGATTCTGCTTAATGTTATTTAAACCTAAATCCAGGCTTCTTAGTTGCCCCAACCAAGAAAAAGCCCCAGCCTTGATAGAAGTGACAGCACATTTTGTAAGATTGAGAAACTGCAATGAAGAATTAGCAAGTGATGAGAAAGTTGTCTCTGTTATTGAGGCAATATTGCACTGGCTTAAACTCAATTTTTTCAGATTATCTAAACCTTTAAATGTGTTAGGTGTAATCTCCAGAAATTTATTACCATCCATAATAAGATTCTCTAAATGTTTCAGCCACTGAAGACCAGAGCCAATTTCTCTGACATGCGAATTTCCCAAATTTAGATAAATCACATTGTTTAGTCCATAGAAGGAATGAGAAGACAAGTGTGTAATATTATTATTCATTAGATTTAAACTCTCTAAACTCCTAAAATAGACAAGAGAATAATTTTCAATCGCAGACAAAACATTGTTAGATAGATCTAATATGGTGAGGTTTGTAGTATTCATTCCAAGGAAGGTTGAACTGGAAATTCTTGAAAGCTGTACTTGGCTCATTGAGAGATTCTGAATTCTTGTACCCAATAATTCTGAACAAAGTTTCTCTGTACCATCACATCCCAATGGAACACTGTTCAGGACAAGACTGTATAGATTTCCAATAGCACGGAAACAACCTGGGTAGAACTAGAAAGACAGATTTAAAAAGAAAAAAAATTGAGAACACTACATGAAATTAGTGTTTTGCCAAAATGCTCACCCTACATTTTTTGACACTCGGGGTGCAGCCATACAATGACACTGAATGATGTCCACTAATTTTCAGAGTTAGGGTCATGGCATAGGATTTTTCACATTCTGCCACTCTGCAGGACAACCTTTCTCATCCTGGTGCCCTTCAGACATATTGGGATGAAAGCTCCCATCATGCCTAGCTAGCACGGCCATGAGTAAAATGGAGTAGAACATGCTGTGAAGTGCTCTTTCAAGTCATAGAAATGTTGACTGCTCACTGCAACTCAAATATCACAGAAGCAGATTTTCTTTTTGTAATGATTATAGATGGGGGCATCCAGAACCTGCTGGTGCTTCATATATAAATGGCAATATTAGGCGCCCAGCTACCAAGCTCAATTATATTTTAGACTTACTGATTGTCTTGTCTTAACATATTTATAAACCAATGGTTCTTGACTATTTATGAGAAGGTGGATTCAGGATATCCAGCAAAGGCATTGGCAGACAGTGTTATGGGGGTGGGTGAGATAATTACTGAATTGCTCTCAATGCAATACTGTGCAAATGCCATATTCTAATGCTATAGAATCTGCATTATTACAAGAATGGCCTGACACATCTAATCACTCACATTCACTGTGCAACTCTTATACATTCTCCTCTAAGTGCAACTTTATACAAGCAGTGTTCCCTTTTATATAAATGGTGCACAGAGACAGTACCAATATCCTTATCAGATTATCAGTTCTCAGTCTCAATAAACAAGCATGCTTTACAAGACTGCAGACATGTCCATGCAATATCAGTGTTTACCTCTTTCAAAGGGTTTGACGATAAGTCCAGTCTCTTTAATGAAGAGCTACTAAGAAAGCTTAGATCTTCTTTCTTTAATTCAGTAATTTTGTTCTGAGACATCAAAAGCTCTTGCAGACCCTCTAATTGTTGCTGAGATCCTAGTTTTGCAGAGCTTAGATGATTCTGAGAGACATCCAGTGACTCCAAATTCTGGGGAAAAGGAAGGAAAATATCTGAGATTTTCCCCCCATCATAACAAGATGCATTTCCCCCTTTATTTTTCTCTTTCAGTTTGCTATTATAGCTAAGAGGCTGAATGGTAAGATAATCTTTTAAAAATACTGTACAGCAAAAAATTAAAACTCCAGTTTTAGAACTGTGCTTGAAGTTAGAAAGAGAAACAATGGATGAGAATCATGCTACCTTTTGTTTAAAAGAAAAATGCTTTAAGCGTTACAGAAAGAGAATATATCCTACCATTCTATGAGTTATGAATATACTCTTGCTCAAACTCATGGCATACAGTATTCTTATGCAAACATTTAAGCAACCTAAGAATACGTTTCTTTCTAACAACTCGTTTTCTCATACTTATTTGAAAACTGCTTCCTTGTTTGTTTCTGCCTTTCTGCAGAGTGCTGCCTCCTGCACCCCATATTTTCAATTTAAAACTTTTTTAAAAGAGAATTCTTTTGATTCTCATTCTACAAAACACCATGATTGCATTTATGGCAGCACAAAGAAAAGAAAAAAGCAGAATGGGTTGACATTTCTAACTACCATTTTCCTGTATAAGAAGTTGCACTGGGAAGTTTTCCCTTTTTTAATTTTGTAGCAGTTTAGATGTCAAGATAAGAGCTTGTCCATGCTGGCATATAGCTATAGTATATGGATTGTTGGTGGCATGATTTGGATTGGGAAAAAAGACCTTGTCCACATATATTTCTACTTAGAATTATCCATCCTTCCACTTATCATGCACCTTTGTGGCCCAGCAGCAGGGCATGCAGTCTTTTTGGCATGCTCACCGTTTAGCCAGGAAATAGAACCCTTAGCTTCCAATGGCCATCATTTCTGCAGAACAAGAGAAGGAAGCAGGGACAGGGAAAGGGAGAAAATGGAATAGCATCAACAAAGATAAAGAGAAGTGATGTAAAAGAATTTCCCTTCCCCTGATCCTCTGCAGGGGTTGTTTGCTGTTTGGAAGGAAGGAACACACCAAATGATACATCACTTCTCCCCTAGACCTCAACAGACCCTTTGTAGCCTGATCTACCGTACACTCAAAATGGCTAGTCTGGCCCAAAGACTCCAAAAGAACCTATTTTGGTAGCAGAAATAATTTCTACATAGAGGCCAAGATTCGATTGTGTATTTTGGTATCCAGCAGAACCAAGATGTTCTTCCCCTACTCCTCCTGTTATAGTCTATTCCATTTGGTTGTTTAGCCTCCCGGACCAGAATTTTAGAGTGCAAAAGAGGGGAAAAGAGGGCAGGCTGCAAATTCGGAAGAACAGTGGGATTCGATGGAAGTACACCACTGGATCCTGATTTTAATCTCCTTCCAAGAAAGCACAGACAACACAACTTCACAGAATATGTAAATATATCATTGCAGACACTCATGCACATGCAACTTGATTGCTAACCCCTGTACAGACATGTAGAAAACAACAAGGATAGACATTCTTGTCCAGGAGTGGCACAAATCAGGGCATTTGCTTCGTCATAAAGATCCAAATATGGCTACGGTAACAATCCCACTGCCTTACAAAACAGTGAGCAAATTCTAGTATCTTACCTTCAGATTTCTAAAAGGTTCATTTTTCACATCAAGTATGTTGGACCTCAAATTCAGCTCTTTCAGGTGGGTACAGTTAGCAAAAGCATTATCAGGAAATGCATGCAACTGATTGTGTTCCAGTTTCAAAATGTTTAACAAGGGCAAATTCAAGCACAAGTGTGGCTGCAGTTTAGAGATGGAATTGAATCCCGCATCTAAGTAAATAAGCTGGCTATACTTCGTAAGGTTTGCAGGTGGCAGTGTTCTTAGCCGGTTATGAGAAATATCCAGAGCTGTTATATTGGTCGGGAGATTGGAGGGAATCTGAGTCAACTGTAAGTGACTACAATCTGCCGTGTCTCCTCTGATTTTACACAAGTCCCCAGCCAACACACAGTGAACATGAACGGTCACAAGGCTGAACAACACACATGTCCAGCAGACAAATTTGATCTTCATTTTCCTGGAAGAGAGAAAAGTTTAAATTTCACATAAATCTTTCCTTTTCAAAAAATATGTACAGATGAACAATAAGTAGGACTCAATAAACATAGTTATGGACTTAATCTAGCCCATTATAACATCTGGCCATTGGCTCATTAACAACTTGCTTGTTTTTCCATCCTGTATTGCCTGAAAGACTGAAAGATGACCTACATCAAAGGTGGACACCACACAGCTCACAAGCTCTATGCAGCTTAGGTCCTCTCAGATGGTGCAGAATGCGGCAGCCAGATTACTGAGTGGAACAAGAAAATTCCAACATATCTCCCCCATTCTGGCTGCTTTGCATTGGCTGCCCATTTGCTTCTGCATTGACTTCAAAGTGTTAATGATGACATATAAACCCTAAACGGTTTAGGGCCTTGATACCTGGCAGAACGCCTTCTCCCACCTAGATCTACTCAAATCACTCATCATAGCCAGGAAAGACAGCTCAGGGGCCTGACGCCGAGAGGGACCTGGAAAGAAAAAACAAGAAACCAGGCCTTCTCGGCGATGGCCCCTTGACTTTGGAATAGCTTGCCACCAGAGATCTGCCTGGCACCCTCGGTGGGCATTTTTTAAAGCCAATTAAAAACTTGGCTCTTTAGACAGGCCTTCCCTCCTGCCAATACATGATTTTTATTTTTATTGGTTTCTGCCGTTCACTCTCCCATCTTGACTATATTATTATTGTAGATCTTAACTGTTGTTATTAAATCTGTTTTTGTGTGTAATATATTGTGAGCCACCCTGAGTAGACTCCTGACTAGAAGGGCAGGATAAAAATCCAATAATAAATAAAATAAATAAATAAATAAAGTAACTTCTACGAAGCAGTTCCTTACTATTCAAATATCCATGGTATAATTACATTTCATGTTTCCAGGATTACAATTCTTATTTGTTTTAATACTTTATTTATACAAAATATTGAACTTTGACTGCCCCTTCCATCACATGTATATCCCCTCCATCTAGAGATCTCAGGGTGAGGTACAGACAATAAAACAACTTAAGCAATCAGGAAACAATTATGAAACAATTCAAGATGCTAAAACAGTGGGTGGAAACCTACAGACCAGTAGGTCAGAGCAAACATTTGCTGGACTCCAAAGTCATAAGTGAAGAACTTTAGGGAAATTAGTACAGTAGCTGGAAGGGACTTCCATATGTACATAACTCCCTATTTGGATCAGAGCCCCGCATGCTGAAAGTTAAAGACAGACAGAAACCTTTAATGGCATACTGTACAAAATTAAAACACACTAAGATGCAAACATTCAGCAGCTAACATGTGGCAGGGAACAGACAAATAACATTGTTAGGGCTCAGCATTCTGCGACAGCACAATGCATCGTCTGTGCATGATGGAGTATAGTAGATGTATCTGGCTGTTTATCAGGGAAAGTTTCTTAGTAGTGCCACCTAGGAGGTGTTGAATTTTTCTCAGGTCATCCCATCCAGAATGGAAGGAAAGGAAAGTGCTCAGATAAGATAGGTAGATATCCTTATACAAGATGCAGTAAAACAACATATGCTGCAAGGATTCAACCACTCACTGACCACAAGGGCAGACTCTCAGTTCTGTGGGTAAACCCATATATCTGCCCTGCACTAAGTTTGAAGGTACAACATTGCACCTAGCAAGGGTGAAAGCCCATTGGTCTTGGGGATGCTCTAAGTGATAGAGGTAATTCGGTCTTCTGCCATAGGAGAGGGGCAACTGAAAATATAACAGGGAACAGAGCCTTTGTGCAGCACTATGCAGGGTTTGCCCCTCAATATCCAGAACTCTGTTTTGGATTGTATGGAATACCTGGGATAGGGGTATTGAACCCAGCAGATCTGGTGACAATCTCAGGGTCTTGATTTTCTTGAGGAATAGGGCCAAACCTTTTGGAAATACACTATCAGAAAGCAGCACTTGGAATAGGGTTAAAGGAAAAGAGAGGGATCATTAAACAGTGTGGCCAGAATCCCATTGCTTAGTCCCAACCTGAGCAGACATACTGAATCAATTAGTACATGACAATTAGATGAAATCCACTGAGTCAGTTCATAAAATTATAGATTAATGAAGCTGGAAGGAGCCTATAAGGCCATCGAGTCCAACCCCATGCTCAGTGCAGGAATACAAATCAAAGCAGATCTGGCAGATAGTTGTCTAATTTTCTCTTCAATGTCTCCATCACTGAAGTGCTCTCTATCTCCCAAGGTAATTTGTCTATTGTACTGCTCTAACAGTTGTGCCGACTGCCCATGTCACTCATGTCATTCATATTCATGAGCTTATTTGCATGAGCCTATGAGAGGACTGGAGAGGTGGAGTCAGCAGCTACATGAGATGGGAGAAGGAGGGGTCAGATAGGGCTGGTTAGTCAGAGAGAGAGAGGATACTGAGAGATGGTTAAGAAAATAGGTAGAGAAGGTGGCAATGATATAGCAAGAGAAAAGAAGTACGTACAGTACTGAGGGAAATGTTGATGATTTGCTTGTGTATGTTTGTCTGAGAAATCTCTGTTATTATTCAATCTGCTTCACTTCAATAAATAAGTTCTGTTTCTGTTTACAAGACAAGTGTTCTGATATACGTCATTTGTATTGTGGATTGAAGTAATCCACTGGAGGCAATGAGAGGAAAACGCGACATGAGCCTTTGTGACAGAAGGACAAGCAGGGACCACAAGAGTGAATGCCACAACAGTTAAGACGTTTCCCCTGATATTCAACTTAAATGTGACTTCATGTAGTTTTAGCCCATTATTATGTGTCCTGAGTTCTGGGATAATAGAGAACAGATCCTGCCCCTCCCCTGTATGACTACCTTTCAAGTACTGTATTTGAAAAGTGCTATCACTCAGTCTTCTTTCCTCAAGGCTAAACATGCCCAGTACTTTCAGTGTTTGCTCATAGGTCTTGGTTTCCAGTTCCCTGATCATCCTTGTTGCCGCCTCTGAGCTTGCTCCAGTTTGTTGGCATCCTTCTTAAAGTGCCGTGTCCAAAACTGGACACAGTATGCTAGATGAGGCCTAATCAATGCTGAATACAGGGGGACTAGTACCTCGTGGAATTTGGAGATGATACGTCTGTTAATGCATCTTAAAACAACATTTGCTCTTTTTTTGCAATCACATTGCACTGTTGACCCCTGTAACTATGCATTTGGAATTGTGTTGTTTACAAGTCTATCAAGATCTTCTTGAATTTTGTTCCTATTTTCCAAGGTATTGACTGTTCCACCCAACTTTGTGTCATCCACAGATTTGATAAGTATTCCCTGCATCCCCTCATCCAAGTCATTAATAAAAATGTTGACGAGGCCTAGGACTGAACCTTCTGGTACACCATTTGTTGCCTCCTCCTAGTTTGAGAAGGAGCTATTGATAAGCACTATCTAATTATGATTCCATAACCACCTGTGCATCCACCTGATAATTGTTCTATCCAGTCCATACCTAATTAGCTTGCTAATTAGAATATCACGGGGCACTTTATCAAAGGCTTTGCTGAAGTCAAGATATATTACATCTACAACATTCCCACCATCTACCAGGGATTTACCTGATCAAAAAATGAAATAAGATTAATCTAGTAGGATTTATTCTTGACAAATCCACGTTGGCTTCTAGTTATTACTGCATTGTTTTCAAGGTGCTTGCAGAGTGACAGCTTTATAATCTGCTCCAAATTTTCCCTGGGATTAATGCCAAGGTGGCTGGTTTGTAGTTCCCTGCTTTCTCCCTTTTGCCCTTTCTGAACATAGGGACAACATTAACTCTCCTCCAATCATCTGGTACTTCACTCATCCTCCATGACTTCAAGGAAATTACAGAGTGGTTCTCTGATCTCTTCAGTCACCCTTCAATATATTTGGATGCAGTTCATCCAGCCCTGGGGATTTGAATTCATTTAAAGATAGTCAGGGAGTGTCTTGCTGTTTCATAATTGCTTTATTTCTTGTCTAAATCCAGCAGCAATAGGATACTACCGTGTTTCCCCTAAAATAAAACAGGATATTATATTAATTATTGCTACAAAAATCCATTACGGCTTATTTTCAGGGGATGTTTTATTTTACAGTCGTGTCATTTTCTGTTTCACTTAACTGGGGCTTATTTTTGGAGTAGGACTTATATTACAAGCTTCCTGAAAAATCATACTAGGGGTGATTTTCAGGTTAGGTCTTATTTTCAGGGAAACAGGGTACCATGTTGGTTTAACTCACTATTTTTAGATGTAGAACACAACAGTATTAGTCATTTTGTCTTCATCCATTCTTTGCTTTAAACACTTCTGCTTATAGGTTGTTAGGACCATAGTCTTTAGCCTAATGGACTGTTCCTGCATTGGGGCTGTCTTGGAGTGTTGCTTCTTCAAATGATCACAGAAGCACACATCCAATGCACATATGCTTGAAAGAACACATGTTCATTAGACTTGCCATTCAGCAGGCATATTCCATGCTCACTATTAATCATACAAACAACCTGGATTAAAGAAAATAACATTTCCTTTAGGGCCCTTCTGTACAGCTTCTGATGGCGTGCTAGCCTTTGTCATTCATTCGGGCAAATTTTCTGGTTGAGAGGCACAGTGGTAGCAAGGGAGGTAGAATATGGCAATATAAATGTAAAGGGTAGAGGAAGAGATTTTATTAAATTGCAGAAATGTAATGCAATGACAATATAATTATACAGGGAATTTATGCTAAACGAGAGTTAAGTTCTTCAAAAACCCTCCATTTTATGAACATGGACTATTATGCTTCCGTATCCATGATTTAAAACACCAGGAAATTGCACAATATTGTGCTTGCATTGCCAGCAATACTGTATTATGCTTCCGTATTCATGATTTTAAACACCAGGAAATGGCACAATATTGTGCTTGCACTGCCAGCAGGAAAAAAGAGACCAAGCTTTACATAGCAAAGAGTAGGCCGGATGTTGGCAACACCAATGGCAGCAGTCAAGATGGTCTATAGGATGCCCTTTTCTGCTCAATACCATTCACACTTGCTGAAAACCAGCCATGACAATTGCTTTGTGTTTGGGTGAGAAGTGGTTAACTGATGAAAAAAGGAGTCAGCTTCTAGAATTTTTCCTTGTGTGTCTCTTTGTGAATGGTACAAATTATAGCAGATCCAATAAATACCCAACATATCTGTTGTTTCAGCTATGTAACTATACCTGAGTCATGTGGCCAGCAGGACACATTTGCACACTAGTTCTTAACCTTTGTTACTCAGATGTTTCTGGACTGCAACTCCCAGAAGCCTTCACCACCAGCTCTGCTGGCTGGGGTTTCTGGGAGTTGCAGTTCAAAAACATCCGAGTAACAAAGGTTAAGAAGAACACAGCAGAAAGAATGAGTGGAAGAAAAAAGTCAATAGAAGTGAACATACCAAGCAGATAGAGAACTGCTCTCAGCATCCTCCCATACTGGAAAGCAGAGAGAGGATGCCCAGGTGGCCCTCAGTGAGAGAGGAAGGGTATTAAAACATAATACATAAGAGCACCCCAAAACATTGGGAAGCCAAGATTCAAGGTAAAACCTGAACTAAACGACGTTCAGTTTGGAGTGGATCTTCAGGAGACTTTCCCCCTGACAGGCCAAAGAAGTTGCTCCTAGAAATACCACAAAGCAAAGGAACAGGACTCTAGCAACAGATGATGATTATTTTACAATAACATTCTAGCTAGAACATAGAGCGGCCTCAACGATAACGGACGCCTTGCCCTGAGAAAACAAAGACCCCGTTAAAAGCGAGGCATGGCAGAGAAAAACAGTTACTGCTTCTCCCTCTTTGGAATCCAGCCCAGTTGTTAAAAACTTCCTCGATCCTAAACTATGAGCCGCCGGAAACGCCAACCCTTTTGGGGGGAAAAGAAAAGAAAGAATTACAAGGCTGCAGTTGAGTTCCAGCTGAATTTCAGGATCTGGAAGGGGAACGAAAGCGCCTCACATTTCTGAAAACTTGCCCTCCTCGTCGCTTTTTCCCCCCACACCACACGTAAAAAAAAAATCTGACTGAAGGCAACTCTGTTCTGCCCCCCTCTGCAAGTGAAACACCCCCCCCCATTAAGGTCTTGCTCCTGAGTAGTCGCGCACAGGACAGGCATTGGGGCGCTTACCCGACAGGTCCCCTGGGATGATCTTCAGCTCCCGAGGTAGCGCCGCCTCCTCCGCGATCCTTTGCACGCGTCCCGCTCCCAGCCCTGCCAGCTGGAAAGGGCTCCCGCTGGGCACGGCGAGGGGTGGGTATAAGGGAGAGAAGGAGCCCCGTTCAACAACCCCGCTCCTCCCGCTCGCTCACTTCCTCGCCCTGCCAGTCCCCCGGCTGGAAACAGAATCCCGCCGCTTGGATCACTTCCTCTTTCCCCGGCACGCACGTTGATTTCATTTCTTCTACTGTACTGTACTGTACTCCATGGAAAATAAACAATGAAAAGAGAGAGAGAGAAAGGGAGAGTGATAAGAGTGTATATGTGACCGTACAAGAAAAAAATATCAAAATTGTTCCACTGATTCGTATGTGAAAAATAATCGAAACGAAACAAGCTATTTGAGCCAAAGAAAAAAAAGGCAAGTATTGAAATGGCACTGGGGAGCTGCATTTTATTCGGACTGAGCCCTCGTCCAGGCCTCTGAAGAAACAAAAAGAATTCCACAGAATCCTTCACTGAAGCCAGATGAGGCAGGGATAAAGGGAAAAAGCACCTTGCATTGCTAGGGGAATGCCAGAAGGCACCTCTGGTGGAGAATGGGAAGCGTTTGTTGCTGCTTGTCTATACACTACAGTGCACCTCAATCGCTCTTCAACCACTACTGTCCTAGGCCGGTTTAAATAATGTTTGGGACCTGTAGATCAACATTGGGTCCATATTCAAGGCAAACTTTTAAAGGTCGTTTATGTCCCATTTCAGTCTCCTGATCCAGACTGGGCTCCTAGCATACGGAACTTGTACTAGGGGGAAAAAAAAATCTCTAACAAAGTGAAAGAGAGGCTAACTGAAGTTGAGTGCCTATGGGGAGAGTTCATTGTGAGGCAGAATGAGGCAGATACAGCAGCTGGCAGAAGGTATAAGGTGGCAATAAGGTGTTGGAAAAGAAGAGTTGTGGGTAACGGGGTTGGCCCTGTGCCCTCTCAGCTAGCCTACTGCTTCCATGGGTGGTAGAAAATGCTGAACTGTTTCCCGTGTTGAGGTAAGATTTGTATGGCAGTCAAATCAGCTTTTATGCATGGAATGGGGAAAGATGCCACTGTGTTTTTAACCTCTGGCAGCAAAATGTCATGGGTCAGCCCTGAGTGTGTGTGTCAGTAGGAACGGAGGGATGAAGTGGCACATGTGCATGAAAGTGTGCAGGGTGGTCACACTCACTTTTGGTTCTACTGAGCTCTGGCACCAAACAAAATTGATAGGACAGAGTCTTTGCAGGCTCAGAGTCCTGATGAAAAGTGGAACTGTGACTATTTCATAGGAGGAAGCTGTTAAGTTACATTTCTCCTTTCATGTTTAATATTTACAAATCTAATCATTGGTAAATGGTTTCTTTGCTGGCATGACCACGTGGAATAAGAGAACTTTTCAAAACAGAACATCTACTGACAAAAGAGAAACAAATCGGATGTCAAGCAAGAAAGAACCATGCCCTGTGTTTTGTAATTAGTACTAATTGTGAATGATTGCTTTTCAAGAAGTGATGCTGTCTCCAATGTTGTGCAAAAGCAGAAAAGCTGGGGTGGGAAAAACAATTGGCACAGTCCCTCAGACAGTAGGACCTCTTTTCTCATCTCTTTCTGTGGTCCAATCCAGCATGCAGGGGGGTGAGGGTGTGCAAGTTGCAGGGAAATTACTGTCCTTTCTTTTCACTGCTGCCAGTCGTATAAACAGGCAACAAGAGCAGACAGGAGCGGCACCAAGGCCGAGATGCTCCAAAGATTGGCCCTCAGCTAAAATAAAAGCTTTGGAGGTGTTCCGTGCTGCTGAGCCACACCCCTGACTTGGTCAACAGAGACTAACCCCTGATATCAGGGAAATATAGGTAGCTATTAAAATTGGTAGGAATTTGCCCCCCAAGGTTTGAGAAATAAAGATGAGGGAGGAGGATCAGTTTTGGATGATCTACAGCTGGTAAAAAATTCCAAATAAATTTTTATTGTACATATTGTACATATTATTTTTTTATTATTATTTTATTGGAAGTTTGTCATTAATCCTGGCTTCGGCAGAGTTACTTTCCCATAGAGTATCTAGATATTGGAATGTGATAGTCAAAGTGGCATATAAAATCACTTCTCATGAGGTTAGAAGAGTGATTTTACTAAGGGTCTTTCTATTTGGGTGTCATTCCAATTGCTGGTTGTTAATAATATGAAGGGGGAGATACTTGTTATGAATCCTCTAATGGCTGCCCAGCACCTAAAAGTGTGTGTATCAGATGTTGTAAATTAAGTATTGTGTTCAAACGGAGAAGATTTCAGGGAAAATCTAGAAGATTAACTTTTAGAAAAGGAGGGATTTGCAGAATCACGTAATGGTTTACATTATAACAGTTGGTTAAAGACAATAATTTTCTAGAGAAATATATGAGTAATCCAGATTCCCCCCACCATTATAACATTAAAGACAATAATTTTCTAGAGAAATATATGAGTAATCCAGATTCCCCCCACCATGCTGTAATCTGATTCTCCTTAACTATTTTGATGATTTTAAAAAAACAAATAGACTAGACAGCAAGCACCACTACATATTCTTGTTTGGCCCAATTTCACAAACTCAAGTTGTGGGAGAGATGGACTTTACTGTATTTTGTACATCATGGATGTTATTTGCCATTAGGTCACATCTAATTTATAGTGACCCTAACATGGCTTTCAATTTAAGTGAGGTATTTAAGAAATGGTCTTATTTTTTCTACCTCACCCCCAGTAAATTTCTATAGCTGAGCAGGGATTTGAACCCAGGCCTCCTCCTGAGTTGGGCGAAGATGTCCTGAGTCCTAGTCTCTTACTCTGTCCAATACACCACATTGGGTATTGTTAATAGCAACCAATAAATTCTGGATCTTTGCCCTTTCTGGCTCATAAAAGCAGTCAGAGGGGAACTGACTGAGTGGATCAGAGGAATGTTAAGTGCCTCCTTGCAGCAAGTCTGACTGTCATTGTGTTTAAAAGAGGCAACTGCAAAACCTCTCTTGGAAAAGCTCTCCTTGAACCACACTGTATAAAATAAACATTGGCTAGTCTCCAATAATCCATTTTTTCAGCAAGGTATTAGAGCACATGGTGGCTTCTCAATGACAGAGATTCCTGGATTAAATGAATTATCTAGATCCATTTCAGTCTGTTTTCAGGCTAGGTTATGAGATGGAAATTACTTTGATTGTCTTGATGGATGATGTTTGACGCCTGGCATGTGGTGTCCCTCAAGGTTCTGTCTTGTCCCCCATGCTATCTAATGTATACATAAAACTGCTGGGAGAGGCTGCCAGGAGTTCTGGTGTTTGGTGTCACCAGTATGCAGATAACACCCAGCTTTGTTTATGGGATGGAGACTGCTTTGGTTACCTTGATGGATGACATTTGTCAGGAACTGGACAGAGGGAGTGTGTCCCTGTTGGTTCTGCTGGACCTCTTAGCAGCTTGAGATACCATTGACCATGGTGTTAGAGTCAAAAGTATGACACTCAAACAAAGCCTTCAGAATACCATAACACCCCTTGATAGTTTGACTCTGTGGTGTTCTGTTACAGCTAACATTTATCTCTGAAAGAGTTAAATACCAGCGTGAACCACATAATCATGACAATCATATAGAATTTCATATGTGTATCAAGGTTTAAGTCATTAACTTGCTTCTGCCCTGGTCACCAGAAACATAGCTTTCCAACCTGTTCCATCTCAATTCAGAGGATGAAAATTACTCACTGTTTTCACTCCTTGTGAGGTAAACGGAGAGAAAAGACTACAGGCAACAGTACCTTGTATAGTTCTACAAGCTTTATTCATCTACATTTCTTCTATGCAAAAAATGCAGGAGTAATTGAAAACATTTACTAACTTTTTAAAAAGTCAGTAACACATGATCTCTAAATATCATTCCGTGTACACTGAAAAAACTTTGAACAGTATCATTTCAAAATAGTTTATTGTAGAGAGACACTTCCTCACATAAAAAGTGTGACTTCTGTTTCCTACTCTAATCTTGTAGGGAAAAGAAACGAAAGCTCTGGTTCCACATTTCTATTAATAGTTTAAGATCAGTATAATTGATTCAGTAACATTAATGATACATCATCATCATCATCATCGCTTTCTTATGTATTTCTTATTTTCTTTGAAAATATCATTCACTAAAAGGCAGAACAGAACAAATTCTTGTAAAAAGAGTGTTTAGTACTTGTATAATGAGTAGTGACCATTTTGAGGAAGCTTTGTAAAAAGGGGCTGCAGGAAGAGACTTAATTCAAACAAATTAATCATAGAACAATTTCAATTACAAAGAATATGCAGATCTTGGCAGTGGGCAGACCTTCATCTCTGTTCAAAATATATTTGCTGCCTACCTCCTGATTGAGCTGGTCCAGTTTTTCAAAGGAAAAAAACATAATGAGAAAAATTCAAGGGGCTGTCATACTATGAGAAGGAAAAAACACTACTTTATTCAAAACAGCATCAAAACCAACAGCAACCATCAGTGCATATCCTTGAGCAATTCACAAATACAAACAGAGGCATTGTTGATGCATTTATATGTTCTTACAATCACATAAACACTCTTTCTCCATCCACATGCTATTAACAAATTGTGGAATGCTCCTCTCCTGGCTGCAATTGTCCATGACTTTTCAATGATCCACACAGTCAAAGGCTATATTGTGATGTCAGACTGAATTTCTTCTGAAATTATTTGGTATATTTCTGTAGCCCATTTATATTTGCAATATGATTTCTAGTGTCTCTGCTGGGGAAGGATAACCTTTCAGCTTAGTTCATGTTATCTGGCTGAAGATAATAGAACACAGATTAAATCTCAGTAATAAAACTATAAAACTTGGGTCCCTCCAAATACAGTAAATTACTCTTTATAGCTCTGAGTGGAAAGTTCCAAAATAAACGAATAAGTATGTGCGGGGATGCATAAACAATGTACTGAAAAACAAGTACAACAAAAACAGTGCAACTTTCTCTACAGGCCATTTAGAGTACCACATGATCAGGAAATGCTTTGTTATAATGCCTCTGTTCAACCTGACCCAACAAACTCAAACTACTGTATCTGCTCTGATGCCAAGTTATGCACAGTTACTTATCACTTCCACATTGCACATTCTTTCTTTCCCCCCTCACCTCTTGCTTTTAATTGTCTAGCTTAAACAGTGGACATTTCTTGTTCCATATACAGT